TGCTGGCCTGTTGTTGGCTGGTGTTGGTCTGGTGTTGGTCTGGTGTTGGTCTGGTGTTGGTCTGGTGTTGGCCTGGTGTTGGCCTGGTGTTGGCCTGGTGTTGGCTTGGTCGTGAACTGGTGTTGGCCTGGTGGTAGTCTGGTGTTGGCCTGGTGTTGGCCTGGTGTTGGCCTGGCTTTGGCTAATGTGTTGGCCTTGTATTTAACTGGTGTTGACCTGGTGCTGGCCTGGTGTTGAACTAGTGATTAATTCCGGCAGAAGCCTGGTATTTGCTCCACAGTGTGGGGATGTGAGGATATCTCTCTTTGTGCCTTCTCTTCCTCTCTCTCCCCCTCTTTCTCATTTTTGCTTCTGTCTTGCTATTCCCTCTCTCCTTCTCTCTATCACCTTTCTCGTCTTTCTCTCCGTCCCTCTCGCCTGTGTTTCCATCTCTCTCTCTCTCTCTCTCTCTCTCTCACTCTCTCTCTCTCTCTCTCTCTCTCTCTTCTCTTGCTCCCCTCTCTCCTCCGCTGTCTCTGGCAGATTGGGACTTAATTCAATATTAATCTGCGCAACACGGTGAGGGCATGAGGGAAGGCCTGCTCCGAGGCTGGCGCTGAGGGACGGGGATGTGGTGGGTGTGTAGTTGAGGGCAGAGCCTCCCTCCCTCCCTGCCGGAGAGCTGGGCACTCATCAGACGAGGACTCCTCTGGCTGGGCTGCGTGGGCAACGATGGGGAACACACTTGCTAGAATTAACCGGCTAACCCACACCCACACACATAAACACAAACACACGTACGTGCGCACGTACAATCGCAGCACGCAGGCACACACACGTCCACCCCCTCCATGCATCAGTGAGTAATACAACAGCTCAGTTCATAGTGTTTATCATCTTTATTACTTTATGACTTTCTTCAGAGTTTTCCATAACCTGATTTTATTACATTGTCATCAGATGATGAGTTTCCTCATCTAGTTTCTTAGCTGCATGTATTTATCGACCTTGGAAAGTGATGCATGACAGCCTCAACAGACACAGACAAGAGTTTGGTTTGGTTTTTGCCTTGAAGCCCTTACAGCAAATAATTACTGTAGATACCTCTCCTGGACCAGCCTTGTACAATGTTTGTTACATTCACACAGACACTCACAGACACTAATGGACACTCTCACTAAACTATTGCAACAAAATCAGCCTTGGAAAAAACACAATCACAGCCATTCGACTCTCAAGACATTTCAGAGTCCATTGTAGAACTATATGGCTACCTCCTCTCTCTCTCTCCTCTCTCTATGTGGGCTATGTCAGGGATGTTGTGTTGTGCCTGCTCTAGACCCATCCAAAACCATTTGACTCTCTACAGTCTTTTTATAATGGGTTTTAGAACTCCAGGTACACTAAGTATCTAGGCTTTGTTAGTGAGGCTGGCAGTGCCAGTCCTGGACCATCCATAATATATGACACACTCTAATGGGGGTAAACAGAGAGAACTCACCCCAGGCGGGAAGGGAAACACTGGGGAGAGAATCCAAACCATGGAGTAAAAATGTACAGTACACTGGGTGCTGGGTGCCAAATGGAACAACAACAGCTTGTGAGGAGAAGTTTGTGTGTTGGGTGTGTGTGTGTAATTGAAGTACCTCGAGGCCTACTGGACTACTTACACGTCCATTTGTGTTCCACAGGACCACCTCCATGTACGAGCCTCCCTGGAGACAACCTGGATAGTAATTATCAGGACCACCTCCATGTACCAGCCTCCCTGGAAACAACCTGGATAGTAATTATCAGAACCACCTCCATGTACCTGCATCCCTGGAGACAACCTGGATAGTAATTAACAGTACCACCTCTATGTACAAGCCTCCCTGGAGACAACCTGAAGAGTAATTATCAGGACCACATCCAATTACCATTGCTAGCTAGATAGCTTGCTAAAACGGTTGCTTAGCAAGACACATCTTAAGAAGATTTGTAAGAAGATATTTGAGAAGTTTGTAAGAAAATCATGAATCTTAAGATATTGTTGAGGAATTGCACTTACGAACTATCTAATAAACTTCTTCTTTTTTTTCTTAAGAAGGTCATTTTGTTGTTGCGTAAGAAGTGTTTTGTGAATCTGGGCCCTGGATAGTAATTATCAAGACCACCTCCATGTACCAGCGTCCCTGGAGACAACCTGGATAGTAATTATCAGGACCACCTCTACGTACAAGCCTCCCTGGAGACAACCTGGATAGTAATTATCAGGACCACCTCCATGTACCAGCCTCCCTGGAGACAACCTGGATAGTAATTATCAGGACCACCTCCATGTACCAGCCTCCCTGGAGACAACCTGGATAGTAATTATCAGGACCACCTCTACGTACAAGCCTCCCTGGAGACAACCTGGATAGTAATTATCAGGACCACCTCCATGTACCAGCCTCTCTGGAGACAACCTGGATAGTAATTATCAGGACCACCTCCATGTACCAGCCTCCCTGGAGACAACCTGGACAGTAATTATCAGGACCACCTCCATGTACCAGCCTCTCTGGAGACAACCTGGATAGTAATTATCAGGACCACCTCAATGTAAAAGCCTCACTGGAGACAACCTAGAGAGTAATTATCAGGACCACATCCAATTACCAGCCTCCCTGGAGACAACCTGGATAGTAATTATCAGGACCAACTCCATGTACCAGCCTCCCTGTAGACAACCTGGACAGTAATTATCAGGAGACAAGGCCAAGATCAACCTGGATAGTAATTATCAGGACCACCTCCATGTACCACCATCCCTTGGAGACAAGGCCAAGATCAACCTGGGTAGTAATTATCAGGACCACCTCCATGTACCAGCATCCCTGGAGACAAGGCCAAGATCAACCTGGATAGTATATTAGAAAGTGTGGTATTGGGATATCAATAGAGATACAATAAGGGTCATAGAAGTTGGTGAGCATGGACATAGGGGTTACATTTATTGAATGTTCACCACCAGTGGGTGGAAGGGAGAATGCATTGGAAATTGAACAGATTACTAGACCTACTGATAAAAATTCATGGCGCAGCAACCAATTTGGGCAGTTATTTCACTCTTTACTAACTGCAAATGTAATATTCTTCTGTAACATTAGTTATATTTACCTGGAGTGGTACCTTCTTCAAAAGCGTTGAAGTCTCACCCACGCACTGCACTTCTCTCCCCTTGGCCTACACTACACACGGAACCATAGAATGTTTAACAATGAGCTTGCCTGCATAGCTCCAGTCAGCATCGGGCCGGGGGAAACACATCGATTTTCCGTCAGAGCCATCGAGGAGTCCGAGCTCCCAGGCCTACTGTGGTGCTGGAACAGCCAGGGAACATCAGTATCCCGCAGGCGGCCTGGCAGCGTTTAGAAGCGGTTTGTTAATGTGGCCTATTAGCTCCGTGAGTGACAGAGAGATTCCCCGAGTATCGAGCCGGGGAGGCCGGGTACACCCCGCAATTAGACGGATAGGAAAGCCCCGGCCCAGCGCTTCGTCAGCATCCGCTGGGCGTCCGCCATCATTCATCAATGACAAATAGGGAGATACAGAGAGCATCTTCCTAATGTTAAGCAATAGCAGGGGTTGCAGATAATGAGTGATGAGTAATTTAGCAGTCTATAGACGACCTTGTCAACACTCGATTTGGCGAGATGAGAGACTTAATTGTTTATTGCTTGAAAATTGTTTGTGTTATTTAATTAACTGTCCCGCCGGTCAAAGTAATCTCCATACGGTGATAACTACTCTCAAGGGCTTGAACCATTTCATTTCCAGCCAGGCAAGCAGACAGAATACAACGCACTTAATACAATTCCCAAAACAAATTGAAAAAAAACATAGGCTATATTCACATATTGCCTAACCATGACCCATTCTTAAAATATGCATTTTGCCTGCAAAGATTTAAAAAAACATTATGTAGGTCATTTGAATTTGAGTTTTACTGACACGCGACACTGGCATCATTGCACAGGATTTCCCGCTGTCATCCTGGAGGAATCAGCTGTCTGGCCTTTTTGTTTCTCTATTCCTCCCAACTGTCAAATCGCTAATGTCTAACTAAGGCATTCATTGATGCGGTAGATGATTGTGTTTGCAACTAAATACTTTAAAAAAGTGTATTTTTCCATATCATGACTGTCTCTGTGCGCCTTTTTGTGCGTAAACGGGATGGGTAGGCTGGCTACGAAAATATGCATAGATGCATGAATGTATAAAACTGATGAACCCGTCTTATAATGCAAGATTGATAACATGTTAGCTATATCTTTTTTATGAATATACTTTATGAGGCTGTTTTTGTGCTCTCATGTGTTGATGCAAACTGCAAATGCATTAACACAATACAACTGAGACCCATAAACGAGTTGCTCTATTTATGACATTTCCGTTTAGAGCATTCAAAGCTGAAATGTCTCAGCTTCTATCTAAAATGAAGGCTACAGTGTTTTTGTTGCTGGTTTGGGTGAGGCTGCATTGTTGAGGGAGGATAGGGCTGACATTAGTTATTGTAAGGAGCAGAGGCTGCGCTTGAGCTGCTCTCCAACCTCTCTAATTTCGCTGCTGCCAAGCGCCGATCAGCACTACCTCAGGAAGCTCCAAATAAGGGCAAGGAAATGTAAACCAACCGGAATAGGTCCTTGTGTAGTTACTACCTTACATGGCATGGCAGAGCAGGGTTTTCCGGCAAGCGATGCCTGCTGCACAGATGGGAAATCAGAATCTAAACTACGTGCAATCGGGGAGAGAGCAAGAATTATGCCTCGTTCTCTAGCAGGGATTCTCATATGAAGATGCATCGATTTGGGGCTGAGGAAGAGTGGGTATCTTCCCGCGATTTATTGCACTGGCTCAATATAAACTCTCTTCCCTCTCCTTTTCCCCCAGGCTAATGTCATGTGTCCTCCGCTGCAGTGCCTAAATATGGGCTTCCTCCACTCCATATATGGACATCTACGTCACAGAGAGAGGGTATATAAAGGAGTCAGAATTCTCAGCGCAGGAAAGACAGCCCTCAGTGCCCAGAACAGCCAATGCAAGAGCAGCGATAGACAGATACTCACTCACATACTGCACTATCTCCCTAACCGAAAACAATTTACAGAGAAAGTAAAAGTGAAATCAAAAACAACAACAACACATTATCCAAAAAGCCAGCACCCTAATTGGATTCAACCAGTGAAAAGAAACAAAATATATGAATGATTACTTATCACCCATTTTAGGGAATGAGTAAAAGGGACACATCTGATCTGAATGATATTTTCTGAAAGAAAATAAAAAAGTGGATTTTACTCATCTTGGACAAAAGGAAGAAAAATACAAGAAGACTTGAAGAACCAGAAGAAAGAGGGAAATCAAACGGAAGAGAAGAAAATATCTCCTCATCCTCAGCAGCAGTAGCAGTCTGACCCTGCTCCCTGAGGTGGACTGGTGATTCCACTCTGCCCAGCCTCGCTGCACTCCTCTTCAGCCTCCAGCACAGCCTCAGCCCCCTACAGGTCCACATCCCTGGAGGATGGCTGCAACCAAGACAGAGATGCTCCTTCCAGCCCTGCAGATCTCAGACCCCCTCAGCTTCCCCCACTCTCCCATGGATAACTACCCCAAGCTGGAGGAGATGATGATGCTGAGCTCCGCTGGGACCCCCTTCCTCTCTGCCTCAGCGCCCGAGGGAGCAGGCTTCGGATCGGGGGAGCAAGGAGAGCAGTATGACCACCTTAATGGAGGTAAGTCTCTCCTTGGTCTATTGTTGGATGGAATTGCTTTACTGTAATGTATGATAGACAGCTGCTGCTTTGCTGTGTGCAGTAGCAAAATGCATGGCATGAAACAGTTGTTGCATAACTTAAATCATTATTTGTGTTCAGCTGGCAATTATGATTTCAATTTCAACTTAGAGAGAAGACCCTAAATATGTTGAATATGTTCTTTGAATGAGATATGTCTAATTCTCATGATGGTTTGATATGGAATTTAAAAAAAGAAAGAAATGAAATATAATAAAGCAGTTTAATTTATGATAATTGGAAATACATAACTCAAAATGTTTTAAGAAATGTAGAATTGTGTAAATTAAATTGTAGCTCTTCATTGAATGGTATTTGTACTTGAGCGTGGCTCACTCATTGCATACCTTTAGAGATTCTAGAGCTCAATTTTAATAGCATTCTTAAAACCAGCTGAACTGCAGTTTCAGTAATCAATACCTTTGGCTATGTGGCTGACTTCAAGAGCTTGGTGTGTGTGTGTGTGTGTGTGCCCGCATACATGCTTGTGTGTCTGTGTGCGCTTGTGCGAGTGCGTAACAGAAATATATATATTTTTTAATGGATGCATGCAGATGGCTTGGGTTGACTTGCAAGACATCTATGTTTTGGTTAGAGGAGGAAATGGCTGGTGTGGGAGTTTAGGGGTGGGAAAGAGCTGGGGTTGCTGGGAGGGAGGGAGGTTCTTGCTGCTGTTAGAGAGGAGAGGGGCAACACTGTCCACCTCTCTGGCAGGATTCTCCTCTGCCTCCCTCCCTCCCTCCTGAGTCCCTCCTCCTCTCTCTCTCCCTCCAGCATATTGACAGGTTGATTAATGTCCTGTCTCTCTCCCTCTCTCTCTCTGCAGATACGTTACCTGATATCTCCATGAACTGTGAGAAGTCGATGGCAGAGCAGAGCTACTCCACCCAGCGGCTGCCTCCCATCTCCTACACCGGCCGCTTCACCCTGGAACCAGCCACCAACTGCAGCAACAGCCTGTGGGCCGAGCCCCTGTTCAGCCTGGTCAGCGGGCTAGTGGGGATCAACCCCCCCTCCACCTCCACCCTGTCCTCCTCCGCCTCTCAGACCGGCACCTCTTCCTCGTCCCCATCCCCTATCTCCTCCGTCACCATCTCCTCTCAGAGCTCCAGCCTGAGCTGCTCTGTCCACCACAGTGAGAATAACCCCATCTACTCAGCTGCTCCTACGTACTCCAACACCAGCTCTGACATCTTCTCTGACCAGGGCTTCCCCATCCCCGCGGGGGGATCGCTCCAGTACCCCCCTCCAGCCTACTCCAACGGCAAGACATGTGGCTCTAGCTTTCCTGTGCCCATGATCCCTGACTACCTCTTCCCCCAGCAGCAGGGGGAGATAAGCCTACTACAGGATCAGAAGCCCTTCCAGAATGGGTCTGGCCAGCCCTCCCTCACTCCCCTGTCCACCATCAAAGCCTTTGCCACCCAGACAGGCTCCCAGGACCAGAAGAGTGTCTACCAGTCCCAGCTGATCAAGCCGAGCCGCATGCGCAAGTACCCCAACCGGCCCAGCAAGACACCGCCCCACGAGAGGCCTTACGCCTGCCCTGTGGAGACGTGCGACCGCCGCTTCTCCCGCTCCGATGAGCTGACGCGCCACATCCGCATCCACACGGGCCAAAAGCCCTTCCAGTGCCGCATCTGCATGCGCAACTTCAGCCGCAGCGACCACCTGACCACGCACATTCGCACGCACACTGGCGAGAAGCCCTTTGCCTGTGAGATCTGTGGACGCAAGTTCGCCCGCAGCGATGAGAGGAAGAGGCATACCAAGATCCACCTGAGGAAAAAGGACAAGAAGGCGGAGAAGGGCGGGGTGGCCGGGACGGTGGCAGTAGCAGAAGCACCAGTATCAGCCCCCTCCCCAGTCTCTAGCTACCCCTCTCCCATCATCTCCTACCCTTCCTCAGTCTCCTCCTACCCCTCTTCAGTCACATCCTGCTACTCCTCTCCGGTCCACACCTCGTACCCCTCTCCCTCCATTGCCACCTCGTACCCCTCTCCCTCCATCGCCACCTCGTACCCCTCTCCCTCCATCGCCACCTCGTACCCCTCTCCCTCCATTGCCACCTCGTACCCCTCTCCCTCCATCGCCACCACCTACCCCTCTGTCTCCATGTCCATGTCCAGTCCCTTTCAGTCCTCCATGGCCTCCTCCTTCCCCTCCTCCGTAGCCTCCATCTACTCCTCTCCGGTCCCCACCCCGCTATCAGACATGCATTCCACACTCTCCCCAAGAACAATCGAGATCTGCTAAGCAATAGAAAGAGAAAATGTACTTTTTATTCTCTCCTCCTCCTCCTCCTCCTCCTCCTCCTCCTCCTCCTCCTCACCACACCGTACAGTCTCTTTGAGGGGAGAAATCAGCATCAACAGACTTATTCCCCTTCTGAAAAGCACTTTTCTGCCTGCTCCCTCTGCAAGCTCTGTTCAGTAAATCCTCAGATTCACCTGAAGAAGAGATTAAAACACAGGTCAAGGACCGGGCAAAGACATTATAGAACACATAAAGGGATTTTCTCCTCTCAGTTGGTAAAGCAAATGCAGGGCTTAAAACGAGGCATATTAAACTTTCTAGAGCCAGAGTTGAAACAGGTGAAGACAGGTTGGTCGTTCCTATGAGTGAACACACAGAGACAGACAGACAGACTGAACATCCAGTCGTCCTGGCACTAAGGCACTAAGAAACATACAGACAGACAGACTGAACATCCAGTCGTCCTGATACTAAGGCACTAAGAGACAGACAGACTGAACATCCAGTCGTCCTGATACTAAGGCACTAAGAGACAGACAGACTGAACATCCAGTCGTCCTGATACTAAGGCACTAAGAGACAGACAGACTGAACATCCAGTCGTCCTGATACTAAGGCATTAAGAGACAGACAGACTGAACATCCAGTCGTCCTGATACTAAGGCATTAAGAGACAGACAGACAGACTGAACATCCAGTCGTCCTGGTACTAAGGCATTAAGAGACAGACAGACAGACTGAACATCCAGTCGTCCTGGTACTAAGGCACTAAGAGACAGACAGACAGACTGAACATCCAGTCGTCCTGATACTAAGGCACTAAGAGACAGACAGACTGAACATCCAGTCGTCCTGATACTAAGGCATTAAGAGACAGACAGACAGACTGAACATCCAGTCGTCCTGGTACTAAGGCATTAAGAGACAGACAGACAGACTGAACATCCAGTCGTCCTGGTACTAAGGCACTAAGAGACAGACAGACAGACTGAACATCCAGTCGTCCTGATACTAAGGCACTAAGAGACGTTATATGTATATTGTACTTGTGCCATGTTTTCTTATATTTTTTCGCATTATTTGGTACCATTGATGTGAAAAACGTATTTGCATATTTGAAGTCAGCAGGGCCATATTTTCTATTCTAATACTTTCTCTATGATGATGTAGTGATGACAATGATGTGATACATTATTTACTTTGTTTGATGACGAACTAAGCACTTAAGTATTCAAGCATGTGTTAATAGTGATGTTAGTTTCTATTGTTTCGTAAATATCATCCACTGGTACTAGATTTCTCTTTCTCACGTCATGTGACATATCAGTCTGTTACGTGGACAAAAACACTTCACGTAAAAAATCAAAAAACAATACCACCGTTCCTGTTTTTGGTGCCTTTATGTGAAGCCTTGCTGATGTTTTGACATGTCTGCGTGCAAGAGAGGATGCGTTGCGTCTCGCCTTAAGGGTTGAAGGGATATTTTTGTTACAGAATGGAAGTCATGTTCAGACTCTGAAGAAGTAAAGAAAGGGACATGATTATATGAGGGCACCGCTTCATTTTTTTTTACAATGTAAGCAAAGGAGAGAAATTATTAACTATATTTTTGTAACTGTAAATGTAAATATCCACGTCTTCAAGTTGGAATGTTGTAGTTACCTACTGAGTAGGCATGGGATTCTTTTGTATGTTATATACATGCGGTTCATTATTTGGTGGTTTATCCTTATTTTGTATTTGTGTTTGTTAAACCAAGTGACTGTTTCTGGCTTCTCAACACATTGAATGCGCTTAACTGCCAATGGGATATTTGATGTACAAGATATCCTCCCAGAAATGAAATATAAATAAAATATAAATATATATGTATAGAATTTCCTTCCATAACTCATCACTGACTGGTTTCAAATATTTCCATTGGTACTTAACAAAAATCCTATTGGAGCATCTCATTGCATTTCAGTGTTCATATCTGATCCTGCATCCTCACCCATCCCTGCAGTACATTTACATTTTAGTCATCCAGAGCGACTTACAGGAGCAATTAGGGTTAAGTTCCTTGCTCGAGGGCACATCGACAGATTTTCACCTAGTCGGCTCGGGGATAGTAGCCTATAGCATTTACATGCACATCTAATGTCATAATCCTACATGTCAAATGTATGCTCTATGAGTGGATTTCCCCACAGTTCCCACATCATAGGGACCTTTAACTGAAGATAATTTACCCAGCATGATTTCATGGTCACTATATTTAGCGTTGTTCTCCCGTTGAACCCTCATATCATTGACAATGCAAATGCATGACTCCCATGCCTAACTAGGCTGTATGAAGATGGGGACTTGCTATAGGATTTCATGCTGCTTTGAGATATTAGTCTAATCGATATATACCTCGTCCTTAGGGTAATTGCACATGAGCAGAAGTGTGTGAACGAGATTCAAATCATTCAAGCGATAGAGGCCTACTCATATTGTTTTTAGATTTTGGACATGGATTGTGTATGTATGCCATTCAGAGGGTGAATGGCCAAGACAAAATATTTAAGTGCCTTTGAACGGGGTATGGTAGTAGGTGCCAGGCGCACCGGTTTGAGTGTGTCAAGAACTGTAATGCTGCTGTGTTTTTCACGCTCAACAGTTTCCCGTGTGTATCAAGAATGGTCCACCACCCTAAGGACATCCAGCCAACTTGACACAACTGTGGGAAGCATTGGAGTCAACATGGGCCAGCATCCCTATGGAATGCTTTCGACAACTTGTGGAGTCCATGCCCTGACGAATTGAGGCTGTTCTGAAGGTAAAAGGGGGTGCAACTCAATATTTGGAAGGTGTTCCTAATGTTTTGTCTACTCATACATATATATTACTGAGAGGCAAAACAAGTAGTTTGTTCAGCACTTTCTTATCCTGTTCAGAAAAGATCATTGGGGGAATGTAGGCCTAAAACATTCTGAGAGCCTGTGCGACTCTGTGAATTTATCTGTGAGGGTTTAATTATCGAATGCACAAAGCAGATGAAACCATGGCAGTGGCCAAAAGATTCCGACCCCTACCGTTACGCTTGTTTACACTGAGCTGCACTGGGGTCGGAACAGCATCATGGTTAGATTAAGACACAGCGGAGCCGGCACAAGATATTGGTCGGATACGTACCTCAATGCAGGGATGGGATATGCCACTGTACTCCAAATTAACAAGATTGAAATACTGCTAGTTTTTCCGGAAAACTGCCCTTTTCGTCCTCATGTGAGCCAGCAGTAGCCACTACAGCCATTTTGTAAAGGCAGTGTCAGCCAATCAGCTCCTTTGTTGTTCAATGCAACATGCCATTCCATAATGGCTGCTGTGGCTACTGCTAGCTAGCATGAGGCCGAAGAGAGCAGTTTCAATCTTCTCGTTGTATCAGTTTGGATGCAGTTTGCATTTCAGGAAAGTTCTCCTGCAACAGGGTGATCAAATTAAGATCCTACATCTGTATATACCACAAACAGTACGAACATCCATCTAGTGCAGACAAGTAGGCCTAACGTTTTTTCCCGTAGTTATAGGTCATTTTGTGTTGTGCAATACGCTCACAACCAAAATATGCCCAACGCAAACACAGTTCAAAAAGGAAGAGGAAAAACAAGCGAGAGAAAATGATAGACGGAAAGAAAAACAAGTGAAAGAGAAAATGATAGAGGGAAATAATGAAGATAATTGGTCTCCTGATCCCAAACTGACTTTCTAAATTGGGTCTGATGAGGTGTGTGTGTGTGTGTGTGTGTGTTTAATTTTGCAATGTTAGCGATGTTATCCTCCGTCCCTGTGTGCTCCAATATATTTCCCTACCACTCAGAGTCCCCTTAAGAGACATCCCTGGACACACCCCTCCTCTCTTCCGCTGACACATAACTGTGTGTGTGTGTGTGTGTCCAAACACAACAAATCAATGCAGATATAGAAACAATAACAACAGCCAGCAAGCAAACAATATAGCTGGAAGATAAAGGACACCCCATTTTCAGCATAAGAAATGTACATCATTACCATATTTCGATAAATAATTGAATTATACACAACAGTATGTTCCGGCATGGACACACCCAAACACACACAAGCACAAACCAGCACTGAAGTTAATTCTTCAGGGGCCGTTGTGAAGACCGAGATTAAGCCTATTCTTTGGCTAAAAAACATTTTCAATTTCACTGCCCCAGTTTTTTAAAGTTTCCCATCATTGTTTGTTTCCAGTATTATTGTGGTCACAGAGGCTATATGTCATATGAAAAATCGGTAGCTCTTGTGGTCTTTGTGAGGTCTTGGTTACAGCCAGATTCCTCCCAGTATATTGAGGTATTCAGGCTGCATTCAGCACAAGTGGGAAGTTACTATGGGCCAACTTTGTCACAATGTGTCCATCACACCAACTTCAGAGAGGGGGGCATGTGTCTGTGATGTGTGGAGCATTACTGTTTCCCTTTGCTGCTGTTCTAAGGCTTTCTAGCACATATCAAAGGTCATATGCAGGCATGTTCTGTTTGAGGAGGGGTTGTGGGGAGCAGAGTGGGGGCGAGGGTGAGTGCGTTGTGGCTTCCCTGCGCCCTAACCCACAATTGAGCCACCTCATGGCCCCCACGGGGCTCCACTTCAAGAGCCCGACCTTTGTTCAAAAATGTATTTGTTCACTTATTCTTTTTGGAAAGCTGTGATAGAGTACAAAAAGCATGACTAAAAGGGAGTCATTCCTCTCTCCCTTAATCCCTTGTCCCTCTCTTTTTGTCCCTCCCTCCCTCCTCTCTCCAGTGCGCTGCTGATTTAACTGGCGATGCTAATGATCCATCCCCTCTCTATTCTGATGCAAGGTCTGTCTGCACAGTTTCCTTTCATCCACATACAAATGTGGTCTTATTGCCTTTTGGCCCTCGGGCCTTTAAGATGCCTTTTTGAAATATGTCGTTTGATAAGCACATCATTGGCTAAGTCCCGCAGTGATTAGAAGTGGCTTTAATGTG